GATTTTTCCCGCCGCGATCTCGTTGCATTTCACGTTGCTCCTTTCGGACTGGAGACTGAAAGAAACCTGAGACGTGCTTGCAAGCTGCGCAGGACGGTCCGTATCGTCTGGCACAGGTCTGAGGAACTCAACGTGGCTTGTCCCTCGATTTTTCCCACCGCAATCTCACTGCATTTGCTCCTTTCAGACTGAAGACTCGAGGAAACCTGAGACGTGCTTGCAAGCTGCGCAGGACAGTCCGTATCATCTGGCACAGCGTCTGAGGAACTCAATGCGGCTTGTCCCTCGATTTTTCCCACCGCAATCTCACTGCATTTGCTCCTTTCAGACTGAAGACTCGAGGAAACCTGAGACGTGCTTGCAAGCTGCGCAGGACGGTCCGTATCATCTGGCACAGCGTCTGAGGAACTCAACGCGGCTTGTCCCTCGATTTTTTCCACCGCAATCTCGCTGCATTTTGCGTTGCTCCTTTCAGACTGAAGACTCGAGGAAACCTGAGACGTGCTTGCAAGCTGCGCAGGACGGGTCGTATCGTCTGGCACAGCGTCTGAGGAACTCAACGTGACTTGTCCCTCGATTTTACCCGCCGCGATCTTGTTGCATTTCATGTTCTTCCTTTTGGTCTGGAGACTCGAGGAGATCCTGAGACTATTCACGTGCTGCACGTTGAGCTCCGTCAATTTGTCATAACGAGCGATAAACTCATCGCCTGTCAAGGATTCAATCATTCTCGGCGTGCAGCGGCTTTGTTCCTTTCTACACGTGACACCGTGACGAGGTCTATCGAAGTTGCTCCTCACGGACCCGTTAATTCTTGGGCACCTGGGCATGGTCGCAACTGAGGTGACACGCACCGCGGCGATGACGCGAGGATCGCAGTCGTACTTAACGCGGAACACAACCAGAAAGGAAAGATACCAGATTACAAAAGAGTAGATCACAGATAAGGCTTGTACTTTCTATGTATGTGTTAAGAGTTAAAAATGAGCTCTCGCAAGTCGACTGGAAATCCCCGGCTCCATCGAAAATTTCGCGAACGTCATGCGTTGCCTGTTGCCGCAGCAGGTCACATTGAAGGTGGAGCGAAAAAAAGGGTAAACACACGGTCCGTTAGATCGGCGAGGACATGCGGCGAGGACGTGAATTTTGGTTAGGCCGAAAGAAGCCGAGATGAGGGAATCGTCGTGCGCACGTGGATCACGTGGGTCACGTGGCTCATCCTCGCGGACAGGCGCGCTGGCGGTCCGAGGTCCGAGCGTGTGTTGACGACAGCTGCGCTTCGAGGTTAGGTGCGTCACGACGCGAAGCGACCGAGGCAGCTCTCCCTCGAGGAGGCGATCGCCATTCGACTAGTCCGTAATTGCATCGAATTGCCGTTCGTTTAGCCGCGTTGCGATTGTATGGAAGGACTCGAGAATGGCCGAGATAGACATCTTCGACAGCAACGAGGAGCAACTGCCGCAGGATCTCGGCGACGATGTCGTTCAGGAGGTCCTGAAGACTGGCACCGACCTGCGCCAGTACTCCAGGCAGATCGAGAAGGAGCTTAAGGAGGTCGAGAATAAGTCGATCCAGGATTACATCAAGGAGAGCGAGAACATAGCCGAGCTGCACAACCAGATTGCCGCCTGCGACAATATCCTGGAGGTTAGGACCCGCTGTTGACGCCCCGCTTGACAACGCCGACGTTATTCACGTCCATCTCTAATGTGGCTTAACTTTTGGTTTAATTTACTATTTATCTGTCTCTAGTTGTAAGAAGTGGTAAAGAAATAGATGTATCGTTTGCATAGAATGTTTTAATAACTTTGCAAAGTGACACCGCGGATTGAACAAAGGGAAGCACTCGCTTTAGTATCGTTACCTTTTACAGAAAATGGAGTCAATGCTGATGAACTTCCAGACAGTTTTGGGAAGTATCAGCTCCGAGATAGTTTACCTGCAACGCAAGTCTGTCGCCATGAGTCAGCAGCTGTCCAACAGACAAATAATACGAGGCCCGCTCAGTCAATTTATTGAGGACATGACAGTGTCCGAGGCACTGATCGCGTAAGAGATCATTTATCAACGCTTTGCGAAAGAATGTTGGAGAGACGAGCTCGTTAAACGCGCGTTACTTTTCTTGCAGTGGTATTATGGACTGTCCAGTGACGGAGAAGGAATTTTTGATTCACCTACAAACTCTCAATCATAAGATCATCTTCGTGAAGGAGCAAAGTTTCAAGGAGGCCAAGTCTTGTTTAGACGTGAAGGATATATTGGAGAGGTTGAAGGTGAAGGCAATGGCCAAGATTAGGACGTACTTGCTCGAGCAGATTTATAAATTTAGGAAGCCGATGGCAAACTTCCAAGTGCCGCAGAACAATATGCTAAAGTACAAATTCTTCTTCGAGTTTATCTTGACAAACGAGAGAAATGTTGCCGAGGAGATCTGTGGAGAATACATCGATACTATGAGCAAGATACAATATTCATACTTCAAGACTTATTCGTCGAGACTAATGAAATTGCAGGTAAAGACGCGACAAATAGATATTATTTAAATGAGTTGGCATATTAAGTTGCAATTCTTTTCGCAAGTTCGAAGAGAGAACGTCGAAGGATGATTTAATGGGGGTTGAAGACACGGCGAGCAGAAGTCTTTTTCATAAGACAACGCTGAGGCACAAAGGTACCGTCTTTTCTATAGATACGAGAGGTCAGGTTTTAACTTCTCAATTGGAAGCGCCTATAATTGTCCCACATACTGCCTATAAAACACGGGTGAGTACCAAAGATACATATATGACTGTAATTTACGTACCCTTGCGAGAACATGCTTTTCAAATTAATATTGTAATCTTACAGTATCATTACGAAGCCCTATTCAGAAGTGAACAATATGCCTTGGCCGATAATGCTTGCAGAGAATATCTGTTCCTGACGGAGTTTTTCCAGGTCCGTAATGCACAGGCATTAGACATTTTCAATCAGGTAAGCGAGTAGTAGTTAATAATTGATTTGATATATTTATGTAAGTATACATCAAATAGCAAATGCACCAAAATATCTTTTCCTTTCGACAGGTCATGGGAAAAACGTTAAATCTTATGATAAAGAATTTGCAGTCGTTTGTTGAGGATTGTTACGATACGATTGCTCTGTTTCTCTGCCTACATTTAGTGAAGCATTATCAGTTAATATGTCATAAAAGAACTGTACCAGCGTTGGATAAATACTGGGAGACTTTAACAGCCACAATTTGGCCTAGGTACTTAACCGTGCTTAAAAAAATTATCGCGATAACATTCATCTCGGTATTTAGCATCGTCACAATTTGCAAAATTATATCTGCTTTTTAGATTTGCGTGGGTGTTTCAATTAAACATAAACAGTGTAAAAGACTGTGATCCATCAAAATTCCACAAAGAAACTGGTCCACATTATGTAAGTGTCTGCAATTGTTCATAGAGACTGACGTTTGATTACCATATAATATTGCAATACTATTAATCTCTTACGCGGTCATCAATTGTTTAGATTACTCGAAGATATGCGGAGTTTAGCGCAGCAATTGTAAGCGTAGTCGAGGGATTTCCCTGCGAAGACACGATCCAGTTATTAGCAGAAATGAGAGAAACTGTACAGTGCTTCCTGCTAAGAATGGCATCTATTTTTCCGACTCGGACGCAGCAATTAGTATTTCTTATCAACAATTATGATCTGGTACTCAGGGTATTAATGGTAAGTGGATTTTATTTGACATGGGAAAATCTATCGAAGTTCATGTATTAAGAACGAACTAAGAAACTATATTTGTGATTGCAGGAAAGAACACGAGAAACCTCGAAGGAAGCGGAGAGCTTCCGGGAGCTGTTAAGTGCACGTTCATCCGAATTTATCGAAGAGGTCTTGAGCCCGCATTTCGGTAGTATAATTCAGTTGGTAAAGGAATCGGAGGCGCTAATCGAGAAGGGCCAAGCGGACGATTTGAAACGGCAGGAGGGCAAAGCGTTGGTCCTAGTGCAATCCTTTACGAACAATTGGAAACGAGCGTTAGAAGAGATAAATCGGGAGGTGTTACAGTCGTTTCCCAGTCTGCTGCTCGGCAGCACGCTAGTGCAAGGCGCAATGACGCAGTTGGTGCAATATTACAATCGCCTCCACAAGATTCTGCCGCCAAACGCGCGCACGCAACTTACGAACATCCATCACATAATGGTAGAAATTAAGAAGTACAAGACAAATTATTAGATAACTTTCTGAAGAAGTTGTTTAGTTAAATTCAAATAGCCGTCGTCGTTAATTTGCTGTAAAAGAATTATTTCTAGTATTTGTACATAAAACCAGCTGTTACAGCAATTTTTAAAATTCTAGTGATTACGATTATTAAATAAGTGTAAGTTTTATTTTACTTAGCACTGTTCAGGAGAATGTTGGGGCTCCTTCTTGTAAATATAATCTCAGAGATATACGTTCTGTACATTTATTTATAAAAAGATATGAGTTATGAGCTAAGCATGGTATTGCGTTACCATTCTATACAATAGCGATTAATATTCCATACTCTTGTGCGCCTGACACGAGTACACGAATCTCTGATGTTATTTATCTTATATAAATTAATATGTATACACATGTACGTTAAAAATGGTCTCGTTACTTTTTCCTCCGATTTCGCGACCTATGGCATGTCAATTTTTCGACGACTACACCCAATCGCGATGCGGCGAGCGTTTAATACTAATCGCTTTGATACAATTCGATTTAATTGCCACTCGGATCTCACCGCACTCGCGCAAGCAATTTACATTCACTTGATATATCGAGCTCGTCAACTTTTCGAGAAATTATAGATACAATTGCGTTTAATTGTGACGAATTATCATACGATTATCACCTGCATGATTGCAACCCGTGCATTTTAATCGTCAATTTGCTTTCATTACTGAACTGTCGTTTTATAGAACACCGTCGATAGCATGCAACACACCGTTCGTTGCTGGCACATTGTGCGTCACGACGTGTGCCTCGTTTATTCGTACTCGTCCTGAAACAACAATGTATGCTAAATCATCCGAGAGATTATCTATTTCTCGATTTATCTTTTTAATGCGATGCATCATGAAGATTATCTATTGAAATACGACGTCTTGCTGTTATATTATTTGAATTGCTCACCTCCGTTTTTGTGGATGTGAACCGGTGATTGTGGACGAAGAGTGTCCTTTTGAATGTAATATCTCATGCCGGCCGTATAAAGGGTCGTGGGAATCACGTGCCGCGAGATTATCGCCTTCGCCGCATCCGGCCCGTCCTCATCGGTCCAAATTGGGGCGCCGTTCTTCGTGGACGCATCGGTGAAAGCGGAATCGGTCGGTGCGAAGATGGTGAACGTCTTCGGTCCTAGAAAGGCAGCTTTCGTTACTGAACGGCGAGGATTCAGGATGATCCGTCGAATTTGCAAGTCAGGCGTACCCAGGAAAGGCGCGTGTGGCACAAACCGATTCCTTTTAAACTATTATAATTTTTGCACGGATTTCCAATTTACCTGTGAGCGTGTCCTCCAAGCCCGATGCGTGCAGCATTCTGAGGAACGTGTTGAACCTCCTCTCACGATCGGCTTGCAGGGTTTGCACTAAATCTCCGACTGGAAGCGGGAACATGACCCTGTCGACGGCGTGGGCGATACCCTGAGGGATCTCGATGTCGCGTTTGTTGGGCGCGACACGCGCCCCGTTTATCGTCGTCACCTATTTGCAAACAATGCGAAATTACAAGTGAAAAGAAACGACCGCATTGGAATCGTCTTCGTTGGATCTGTTCCGAATGTCTGATGTATATTAAATGGGCGCATCCCAGAGAACATTATGACGTCTTGAAGTGGTCTAACAGAGAAATTAAAATTGGAGAAATGAGATACTAAGACAAGGAGAAATTACGAATTTCAAAGACTTATGGAATTATTAGAAAAACATGCCTGTACGTATTTTTAAGATATGTTTTTTGATAACATTTTTATAAAAGATGTCCGAGATGTCTTTAAGACACGCACGTTATTGTCTGAGATCGAAAGATCGTGAGAAGCTGATGACGGAGCCGTCGCATTTCACGCATGTTCATCGAGTGAATGGAAGATTTCTAATATATTCGCAAAGGTCAATAAACTGGATCACGCATGAACACACATGAATCGATCACATAATAAAAATAATATCGCATTGATTCCGCAAGCTATTAATAATTTACAGGTAAACGATTTTTTTCTGTCAAACGGAACGAAAGACTCAACAACTTAAAAAAAATTTTTTTATTTTACTTAGAATGAAGAATAACAAGAAGGTGAGAGAAGGGGTCTCATCAGAATTGGAGAAAATTCTAAAATATAAAATTACCTTCACATCGTTCCACTCGTGGTCCTGCATCGCGTACTCGTTCACCCGCAATTGCGTTCCCGCGAGACTGACGCCGGTCATCTCGTCCTGCAGGGAATCGATCCTGAAGGCTCCTGGTATGACGTGGTGAAGAAGAAGCTGTCGCAAAGAATTCTCAGTATATATTTCCAGACGCTAACTACGTGGAGAACACTTAGCGTTTAATTGACTCGAGAAGAGTGGCGAGTCAGCTTGATTACGATTAGCTAACTGGTGTCAGTGAAAACCACCGTTAGGTAGATACGTTATTAATGATGCCTTTGGCACCGATACGTACCCCACTTAGGAGCCTCGGATTGTCACGGAACTTCTGCTCAGCTTTCTCTGGCCCTCCCAGCTGCACCATTAACGTCCTGAAGGCTTTGTCCGTAGGGACGAATATGGTGTACGGACCTGAAGTATGATATCACAAAACAATGCAGGGAAGTGTCTCAAAACTACCGAGCAGTGTAATTGTTACAGAGATCTTTGCTCCAATTTGGGATTGGGGTCTTTCCTCGGACCAGTCAATTGTCCAAACACGTTGAATTTAATTAACGATCGAGGAAACGAGACATTTTCAACAGACTAAACTTCAGAAGAGAGAATAGGTGACAAAATCGTATTCCTCGCTTAACTAGACTTTGCTTTAAATAGAGACTCGATTCAATTGTTCAAATACGACGATTAGAGATTAGAAAGAAACCTTTCACATCGTCTCATTAATTTGCATTATTCTTATGACGCATTGATCGAACGTCAAGAGATAACACTATCGTTGTATACATTTCATGCAGCTTTTGCGATTGGCATCCATAATTGCACTTCATATTCGCTAGACATTCCCTTCTATTACGAGCGTAGCGCACGCCTAGGTATATGAGTACATCTATAATCCTCGTCGAAGGAAAACATACATATATCGCAGGAGAACGTGACGAAGTTGCACAATGTTCCGACTGATGATTGCATTTCTCGATCGGCAGAAACGGAACTGTTACCGGGGCGGGGAATCCATTATAGGAAATATCGCTGTTCGCACGCGAGAAAAAAAACCACGCGGCGGTTTATTTTCTTTCTAACGAGCGTGCGAACGCGGTCGAATAAAATCAGCCGACACGTGAAAAGAGCGTTTTCCTCGCGATGGGACTCTCTTCTTGGAATTGACGAGGATGCGACGGATATCAAGTCAAGGCACTGCATTTATCAATTATCGAGCGAGAAATTGTTTCGTAGCCGAGGGAGCGCGTGAAAGGATCGACGTGCGCCACGTTAAATGCGCTGCAAAGAGAATCCAGTTCAACTTGAACTGGATTCTTCAGAAATAAAATGAAAAAGTTACACTATCGCTTAGGGAGCTGCTGTTACGTAACGTAATCTAGCGCACTTTCATGCGTTTAGTTTACGAGGTACGCTCGTTTCTCGATCTCCCGCTCGATGAAAGAGGGCACGGATAAAGGGCCGACGAGCTAGACAATGGGCTAAGCGAGTCGACACGCCGATAATTATAACGACTAATGAAATCGCGTGTCTTCTTCGTGAGAGCCCGCGTAATGAGGTACGCGTACCCGCCTTTGTTCTCGTAGACGACGGAGAGGTGTCTGCGTGTCGAAACGGGCAACGAGTCGTGAGAACGATTTTTCCGACGAACGTTGCACGACTGAGGCGAAACGCGAGGTACAAATGCTGGTGGATTGTGCAAAGAGGCACGGGTCCGCCTCGCCACCGAAGGGGATCATTTGTACACCCGTTTGGTCTTCAAGAACATTGACGTAAGTTGTCCCGCCTTGCGATACCATTCGACAAGACTGCGGCGGTCTTTGTTGCGCAGAAAATTCCATTCGTTTTGTAATGCCCTTCATAAAGCTCGCCGCATCGTCGCTTATCACTGGTTTATAATTTTTCGCTACCTTTGTTTTATAAGCCATGCTTTTTAACTCTTTCGATTACGTTAATATCAATCAGATCTGAATATATTGCTAAATCGCGAGCTAAATCGTTAATGCCAGGACGATCGTGAATTTCTTGCTTTGTAAAATCATGAAGATTCAAACAATAGAGTTAAATAACGTTTTTTGTTTGAAGTATTTACGTTAAATTTTTGTTAATTTTGTACAGAGCCGGGACTAGAGTGTGGCGAACGAGACACTTGCCTTCTTTAGACACCAAAATGTCTAGTCCCGGTTCTGATTTTGTATATAAATTATATTCTGTTAATATTTGATAATGCAAATTATGAGAAAATTTGAAAATGACTAGAATTCTTATTTTTGTTCACAAAATAGGAAATTATTTAAAATCTACTTCTATTCCCGTAGTACTAGAATCATTATTAAATACCGTTAATTAATTTTACTAAACCATCCAGCTTGGCATTCAACTCACCGGTTTCGTTCAACACATTATCAAGTCCCGACTGCCTCAGGTACTTCGCCATACCGAAGAGGCCCTCTTTTCTCAACAACGTGGCCAGATGTTCCTGCGAAACTTCAGCCTCCTCCGTCGAGGTCGACGAAGTTTCCGCGGGAGATGAATGCTTGGAGAAATAGACGTAAGAGTTTGGCGTATGTTGCGAGTAGGTCGCCGGAGTCGTCGCCGTCGTCACGATCTCGTTCACCGGCGCCATCGTCGGGATGAACTGGCTCCTGGTGGACGAGTACTTGGTGGTCACCCGTGGAATGTGATCCGACAGGGTTGTCTTCGTCGGGCTAGTATTCAGGGCGTTGTACACGTGGCCCGTGACGCTGGACGCCGAGGTCACGTATTTGTCGGTGGTGGGCACTGAGTTGGGCGACACCGTGACGTAGGGGATGTATTCCGTCGTCGCCGACTTGCTGAAAAGATTTTACGTCGCCGTTCAAAATCGTAGACTACATTCAAAAAAATATTCAGATGGAGAATGGATTATGTGAATGCGATAATCACCTTTCGCTGTATCTGGTCGAGGAAGATCTGACGGTGGTGGGTCTGAAGGTCGACGCCGTCGTGCTGACGGAGTGAAGAGATGATAACGGCGTCCTGGACGTGCCAGTGGACACTATCAGATTCGGATCGAGGCTGGACTCGAGGTGTTCCAGCGTGGAGGACGGCGTGGTCGGTCCGAGCGAGCTGGGCGGCAGCTTCAGCTCGCCCTTTTTGATCTTCTCGACGATGGACTCGACGTCGGTGCCGCTCTCCTTGTCGTTGGCATTACCCTTGACACCCTGCACCTTGTAACTGCCGTCCGCCTGTTCCTCCAACAAGACAAACGTGACCTTCTTCGCCGGTAGATTCTGGATTATCGGTGTCTTGCCGATCTCCTCGAGTCTGCCGTCGCTCTTCTGTCGGATGACTTCGAAATCGGCACCCGGTGGCAGTACGCCGCCCTTCGTCAGCTCCTCGAAGAGCGCCTTCGGAGGCTTGATGGTCGTCGAGGACGGCACAGCCAAGGTCTGGATAGAACTTCCGCTCGATGCAATGGAAGATAAACCGTTCGGCGCGTGGATAACCTGAATCTTCTTGCCGTTCGGTAATATCAGGTCCCTGGTAGTGACATTCCTGGCCTCATCGTCATCGCCGGACTGAGCGAGAGCGAGTTTGAGTTGCCTCAGCAACAGTTCCCGCTCGGACTGTTGAGAACTCCTGTTTCTGCTGCCGGAATTCTGCCTCGTCGTGCTGGGTTTATCGGTCTGATAGATCACCTTGATCTGCGGCTTCGGTTTACCTGGCTGCAATAATTGACCCTCTTGATCCTGGATCAGGCTAAGCAGGTTCTCCGGTATATCCGTCTCCTGATGAGTATTAGATGTAATCAGACGTCTGGCTGGCGGAGGTGGCTGCGTGGTAGTGGTGGTGGTGGTCGTCGTCGTAGTCGTGCTCGCCGCTGTCGTTGTATATTTCTTCTGGTGGTTAGCAATTGCTTTGAGAAAGAGGTCCGCTTCCGATGGCGTGATACGTCGCGCCGTCGGCGAGGATAGCAGCAACGGTGCGGAAGTGGTGCTAACGGCGATCGGGGTCGATGTCGCGGTCGGCGGAAGTGGCGTAGTGGAAGTGAGCTTCTGGAGTTGCTGATGTCGCAGCAATTCCTGCTGCCTGCGCACCTCTTGTTGCTCGTACAGCAGCTGCTGCCGTTGCTTCTGGAGCAGTTCCAGCTCGCGCTGCTTCTCGAGATATTCCTGTAGCTGTATCGTCTGCTGATCGCTGAACAGCGGTTGCGACAAGTCTTGTTGAAGATTCTGGAAGTTATTCTGGTTGTACTGATTGTATTGCTGTTGCTGGTATTGCTGCTGCGGCTGCTGCTGCTGTTGGAATTGCGACGCTTGCACGCCGCTGTTCACGAAGTTCGAAGTACCGAGTTGTTGGGCGATCTTCTGCTGTTGCTGCTGCAGAAGCTGCTGCACCTGTTGTTGCTGCTGCTGCAACTGTTGCAACTGTTGCTTCGCTCGATCAACTTTGTACTTGGCCAGGGAGGAGTACGGCGTGCCGGATTGTGCCTGCTCGAACGAGGGAAAAGACGTTACCCGCGGATTCTTGAAGTCTTGAGTGGGACGTTGCCGGTACCGTTGCTGGTGTTGCTGCACATCACTCAGTATATGGGCTTGCTGGGAAACCGAGAGACGAGGTCGCGGATCGTTCACGATGCGGCCCTAGAACCAGATATTTACACGATATTGCCCATGTTTCTTTTTTCAGGAAGCAGCAGAATGTTAAAACTTGTCAAAGTCACAAATGGTCTATTTAATGCCAATTATTGTCCACGTTTTTATTCATATTTTTTTCTACTAAAACGATTTAAACGCCGTGAAGTTTTCTTGCGCGTTAAAATACATTCCTGCGGTTATTGCTCTTTATTTACTCGATGGCGCAATACCTTATGCAAGATTAAATTTTTGCGCACGTTCTAGACATCATAAGCGCGTTAATACAAGATTATATAATACTATGATTTCCAGTGGCATTTATCAGTAGCAAAACGAGTTTACGGCATGCCTCTGAAGTTCAGTTAGGACAGTCATTGATCTCTTCTAATAATTTTTTGGTGACGTAACAAGAAATTTATACGGGTGTTCTATATGATGCGATAAAGAGACATTAATTTTTCGTAAATGAACACAATTTTCAGTAAACTTAAAAATATATGGTACTGTCAAAGGCGTAGAAGTATAAATTTGATTATAACGGTAGCGAATGCAATCAATCTTTCGTATATTACAGAGAACGTATGACGAAGACTATGATAGTATGAACTCGTTGGTTTCGTTCGACAGCTTTCATAAATTACTCTGATTAATTACTTTGCGAGGTACGTTTTGTATTTCCACTCGGCGTAGGATATTTCATTGGCTAACGTGCTGCATGACAGCACGGTAAAAGATGATAAAAGCGAAAGCAAATCGAATCTACGCAATTGACGGCAATTCGGTGTATGTCACAAGCTTTATAAATTATCGCAGATTTATACTCCGGGGCGCTTTAGAAACCAAGTGGAAAATCGATGTGAAGATTACTCTCGCGATTTAGCAAAGGTTACTGGACGTGTATTCACTCTCGCGAAAATTCAATTTGAATCAATAGAGCAACATATATTTTACAACATATATTATTTTATTTTTTAGATGAATGATCTTTTCGATAATATTTCTTCAGCCTCTCGTTTCTCTTCGTTTATTTAGTACAGCACAAAGAATGCATTAAGAAATTTATATTAATATTTTGTGATTAATTATATTATAATTATATAGTAGCATTTACATGAGGCACGATAGACGCAGTTTGAGACGGACCTTCAGTAGAACCTAGATGAATTATCGTATCATTTATATAATTCTACAAAATTCACAATGTTAGTTAGCTCCCAAATTCTAACAACAAACGATTTAGGAGGCACTTTCGAAGAGTTTTGAGTCAACAGCTTTTTACGATCGCAACTTGTGCCATACTATTAAATTTAAAAAGATCTAGATCACACTGTTCCCCCGCAAATTCCTACTTATTGATTCGATTATCACAGCTTTTATTGTTGCCGATATACTGCGCACAGCACGCTCTCAAATTCATTGTTGTTGGCTGTATCGCGCGAGAAAGACGCGAATAATTAAGCCGGCCGTAATTAAGAGGGGCATTGTTCGATCTTCCTTTCTCCTGAGTGCCTTCTGCCGTCGTCGGCCCGTTGTGAGACACAGGTCTTCTCGTCCTCTCGTAGAAAGTACGACCTACTGCAGTTTCCATTTCGCACACACATAACGACTTACATATCTTGTTCGAGTGGATCGACGTGTGTACTGGTTCTTTATATAACGGCACAGCCCTGCGGCTAATATCCGCGTTTTGCATGATTACGCGTCTTCTCGTGTGCGGTTCGCAGCTGTCGCATTTTTACAAGACACTCACGATATTATTATTCAGCGGGGAAACCGCTGACATTCTTTTCTTTCTACAACTTTACAGTATCTGAATGTCATACTTCCTATATCTTACGGTGGAACTGTCGCTCAACGTCTCGGGAAAGCAGAGCGCGTTTCTAAGAAAACTTTATTGTTACATGTAGATGAGATCGGGGCTGACTTAAGATAACATAGTTTAAACAGCGAAAAGTGAGATGATGCAAATGACTCGGTCGCGATGAATTTCAATGCAAAGTCAACAATGTTCCGCTTCGCGTTCCAGGTCAATTGCACGTATTCGATTTCATTGACATTGACATTAACGTCGAGAGATCTCTCTGACAAACGTTTGCACGTTACGTTGCAGTTCTTCTCATCGATATTAAGTCATAATTATCTGCATACCATTGTTTTTATTAAATAAATAAAACGTACATTATTTAAACAATTTTTCTCGTTCTTATCAGAAGCGACGATAAGATACTAATCCGAGATCTCTGTGCAAAAGTTTAGAACACTTGCAAATTTAACTTAGATTATTATATTAATGAGTAAAATTCCCAAAAAATAATTCGCGTTTACATTCTTGATCAATCGTGCCTGGTATGCTAAATAGGTAGATTTGGTTGGATTGACAAGTGCAAGGTTACCGATACTGGTTTTTCAATATCACAGTCGTACTAGTTTACCGTCACGCAGCGTGACGAAATAATTTCGCATAGACGCACGCAAGGGGCGGTCTCTAGAGTTATCCGCATTTCGTGAGTTACATGTCTTTCTCATATCATCGACCGTAGTTCTCAATCTTTCCGCGGAATCGGTCGCGAACCGATCGAATCAAAAGCAATTAAGAATTGGCGTGTCGTTCTCTCTCGCGGCTGTGACACTTGGCTAAGTGTCACAAACTGCGATGTGGCGATTACGCGTCTGCCTCGAACTTTCTATTTTAGCACGTGCTAGCTGGAAATAGTAGATCCCGGTTTTGTAAGCGGTACTTAAAAAGTAGCAACCTTCGAGAGTGCCCGATCACTAAGCGATCCGATTAAGTTGCACAGATTCCTACGCGTAATTACCAGTTTCCGTAACAACGTTGCATGCAGCATGACGCGTGCGGCAATATCCCGGGGCGCGCGTAAATCAGATCAAAACCGGATGTCGAAGTGTCGTGAAAGGGTTGTACGTAAATGATCCGCCCGCGTTCCGCAAGAAAATGCGCGTGCTCCAAACCGCGCGGCGACGAAAAAGGCCTTTTAATGTCTTTTCTGGAATTGGATTTCTGTCGTAGAGCCGCGAAAATGAGCTATCTGGCAATTTGCACGATTGCCTCGAGAAATGGTCTGCTTCTGTCAGAGGATAATTGAGGCCTAGAAAGTGACGGGGTTCAGAGAAACTTTGGAGCGCTGCAGCAAGAATGACGGAGCGGTCCTGTTCGACGATTCGTCACGCGGATTCGGATTTTGCGGAAATTCGGTTCGGATCAAACCGAAAATCGTGTCAGGTTTGCAATTCGAGTAAGATGTATAAAGCCTTAATGTGAAAGAAAGTCTTGATGTAAATGGCAAAGACAAACAGATTTTCTAGACAGTTATATTCATAAAAAGATTTATTGCGGAAACAAACTTGGGAAAACAAATGTTGACAACATAGATTTGCTGTCTGTTGTATAAAAGTACTTTTAAGGATTTCATTTCCTTCCTTCACGTTAAGTCTTCGAATGTGAAGCGACGTTTCTTTAACTCCTACGTGCATTTCAAAGATGCTCGAAAACAAGTCGTTTGCCAAAGAGTCTTTCGCTAAGGGGACCGAATGCAATCGCCGTAATGGCTCGCAGCCCACAGTTAATCATTCTGTTACACACACATACGAGTGCTATTAGCAAATATATATATATAAAAAAATATGAAGTGGGGCAGTCTGGCACGTGAATAAATGGCTCTCGATGTGCTCCACCCACGCGGATAAATGTTAGAGAGCACGAATCGCTTGCGAACGGGTCTCGATAGGCACGAGATAATCGTTATCACGTGTCGTTTATCGAAAAATATCATCGCTGGAATTATAACAATTTCCGCGTCTGACCAGAGACGGAGACCAGCGCGGCTCGTGAAAGACAATCCTCTCACTTTTGTGCTATAAGGCGACCGCAATTCGCGACCGGTCGCCGCTATCCGGCTGTCAAAAGTTCTCCAGTAAACAGAGAGGACAATCAAGAAATTTGTATCAAATATAGACCTTAGAATGAGTACGAGCATTTGAAGATTAGCCATGAAATTTTCTTACAGCTCTTTCCAGCTTCTCAATCTTAAACACCCTCTTTAAATTATACACGAAAAAAATGCTGTTGAATGAAAAAGTACAGTTGCTTGAATGTGGATGTCACGGGCTACCACAAACATAAATAATTCACTCAATTGTATATTTGCTATGGATTTTAATTTTAAGCATTGAACTAAATATCCAAATTATTAAGACAACTATCTGATGTTTTAACATCAGTATTAATGAATGAAAAACCTTTCAACCATTTTATCTCAATCACACTGACATTGTTGATGCAACATTTTTTTATATCAAAGATTCAATTATTCAATTTAACAAAACATTGCGGTTTCTCAATTAGACGAAACATTGCAGCTGTCGCTCATTTGCAATTACTGAAACATCCTTCGTCGCAAATTAGAAAAATCTCTTTACGTCAAACATAAAATTACTCCTAGCCTTGCCATTAAACCTGCTCACTTTTCTACAATGCGTAATCCGCAGAAGAAATTTACTGTAGCGGGGGAAACGGAATAACTCATTAAAAACATATAACACCACTGCATCCTCTTACTTGCTGTCGAGGCGATTATCGTTTCTCCTGGCGGTCCAAAGATCAAGGAAAAGATCGAGGGCGTTTATAATGCCCAGAAGGAGCAAGAAACCGCACTTGGGATAAACGTTCTCCCCCTTTTTTTTTCTCTTCCGTCTGTGGGAAACTCGCGGCCACTGGACCGCGCTTGGCTTTTACGATGATCGTGCGCCGCTTAATTGCGCCAGTAGATACGGATTGTGCATAGCCAGACGCAGCGTGAGATCATACGTGTGTGTTTCTAACTCGATACGCCGTATCTCTTGATGCGGATTTATGTACCTGCTGTTATTCGTTAAATCAAGTCTTTATCGAGCACTAAGACATATGTAACTCGCAAGTTAAAAATTACGAGTAAAATTAAAACTTCGTAAGTTGAGAAACCAAGATAAATTGAAATCAAATTACGTAA